TTTCATAAATATATCAATAGTGAAACATTACATACACACCTCTGTCTATCTAACTCATTCTAGAATACACACCAAACCAAAAATCTAGAACTGTCCCAGTAATCAATTTAGGTTCTGAATAAAAGGTGAAAATCCTTAATTTCTGGACGTTGAAATCAGGTTCATTTTCTGTTCTGAATGGAAGTTGAAAATATGTATTTTTTGGAGGTTGAAAATACGCATTTTCCAGATGTTGAAATCAGGTTAATTTTCACTTCTGAATTAAAGTTGAAAAGACATCATTTATAGACGGCTATGTTTGAACCGAATCAAGGCTGGTCCAGACCGGACCAAATCTGAACCAAACATAAACGTCTATGTTTGGGCCAAATCAAGGCTGGTCCAGACCGGACCAAAAACCAACGTCTGTGAACGTGGAAATCAAGGTCGGTCTGGACTACACCAAGAAAAGACATCCAAAAGACGTCGGCGTTGGTCCGTGCTTACTGGGGTGCAGCCTACAGTGTCGGCCTGCAATGGAATGTTATGAATGCCAATCCATGTGTTAGGCCCACCGTTTGTAAAACAGGCCGTTGCTTTGGCTTTGTTTATCCTGATTCCTGTGACTAATCAATTTGACTATTTATGCTCTGAACATCAGCTACCCAACTTTATTAGGCGTTATCCTGAACCTATTTGGTCCTCTGTAGCTCAATTGGTAGAGCATGGCGTTTGTAACGCCAGGGTAGTGGGTTCGATCCCCGGGACCACCCTTACGTAAAAATGTATGCACACATGACCGTAAGTCGCTTTGGATAAAAGCGTCTGCTAAATGGCTTATTATTTGCAATGTGTTTACACAGCGAGAAATGCAGAAGTATTTTATTTTTCGCTATGATCAGCTCGTCAAAAATATACAGATACAAACTTGAAACCACTGATCATGACAACTTAGCTCACGGGGCGAAACTCCTCGACAGCAGTTGTGAGTAGCCTTATTGCCCCATTCCATGTTGTCCATTTTACTTTGACCTGTCCTGTTTTTAGGATACGTTGTTTGTTAACATGTCAGCAAATGTTTTATTTGGTTGAGCGCCATTTAGCTTAGGCTATTTGATCGGAGAAACCTGCATGATGTAAAAAGTGTCCGTCTCATTACATTGTCATACATTTTTATCTCCAGCCTGTAGGCTTCAGAAAAGGCCCACATACTATTTCTACCGTATCCTATATCTGCTACATGATTTATGTTAGATAAAAAAAATTTACGGAACGTTGGTGGAGCGTGGCAGCGACGCGTCTCTCCAACAGCACCCTGGAGAGGCGCGCCGGGATATGGACAAGCAAAATATTTTGCGCCCTGCCTTTGACAATGTGGACACTGCTTATCACAGAGTGGCATCAGCGCTCACCTGAAAAGCCAATATGCCACTGGTTGAGAGAAATTGTCTTTGTTTTTGGGCAGAATTCTGTGAGGTTTTATGTGTTGTTGATGGAGGTACGTATTGGCCAGTTTAGCTCAGAAAATGCCTAATGAGCGGGCCTTGAGCGGTACCTACCTGATGATAGTAGAGGTACCACTGATGACAGTAGAGGTACCACTGATGATAGTAGAGGTACCTACCTGATGATAGTAGAGGTACCACTGATGACAGTAGAGGTACCACTGATGACAGTAGAGGTACCACTGATGACAGTAGAGGTACCACTGATGATAGTAGAGGTACCACTGATGATAGTAGAGGTACCACTGATGATAGTAGAGGTACCTCTAAGCGCACATAAACACACACTCATAATTTATAAAATATATTTGTCTCTTTAGTTTCTCAGAATTATATTTAATAAGCTATTGTTGTTATCCTCATACATTTTACAACTATTTCACAAAACAGAAGATACAGGTACAGTATGTATGTATAGCACGTATCACAATACGTCGGAGGAATGCGATGTTTGCCGTGAATCCCTGACACTTTTACTTTACACAATATTTACATTGTTGTGTTGAGCTAACAATTTGCCTCACTGTGGGGGGCTGGTAGAAAACTGCAGGAAACATACAGACATGTTTACAGGATTAGCATTGAGGAAGGAAACTGCAGGAAACACAGACATGTTTACAGGATTAGCATTGAGGAAGGAAACTGCAGGAAACACAGACATGTTTACAGGATTAGCATTGAGGAAGGAAACTGCTGGAAACACAGACATGTTTACAGTATTAGCATTGAGGAAGGAAACTGCAGGAAACACAGACATGTTTACAGTATTAGCATTGAGGAAGGAAACTGCAGGAAACATACAGACATGTTTACAGTATTAGCATTGAGGGTGTGGGTGCGTTCCGAATCACAACGCCTGGAGAGGTTTCGCCAGAGTGTGTGTGTAATATGTTCCAGAGTGTGTGTGTAATATGTTCCAGAGTGTGTGTGTAATATGTTCCAGAGTGTGTGTGTAATATGTTCCAGAGTGTGTGTGTAATATGTTCCAGAGTGTGTGTGTAATATGTTCCAGAGTGTGTGTGTAATATGTTCCAGAGTGTGTGTGTAATATGTTCCAGAGTGTGTGTGTAATATGTTCCAGAGTGTGTGTGTAATATGTTCCAGAGTGTGTGTGTGTAATATGTTCCAGAGTGTGTGTGTAATATGTTCCAGAGTGTGTGTGTAATATGTTCCAGAGTGTGTGTAATATGTTCCAGAGTGTGTGTGTAATATGTTCCAGAGTGTGTGTGTAATATGTTCCAGAGTGTGTGTGTAATATGTTCCAGAGTGTGTGTGTAATATGTTCCAGAGTGTGTGTGTAATATGTTCCAGAGTGTGTGTGTAATATGTTCCAGAGTGTGTGTGTAATATGTTCCAGAGTGTGTGTGTAATATGTTCCAGAGTGTGTGTGTAATATGTTCCAGAGTGTGTGTGTAATATGTTCCAGAGTGTGTGTGTGTAATATGTTCCAGAGTGTGTGTGTAATATGTTCCAGAGTGTGTGTGTAATATGTGGTGTGAGTCCAGTACAGTTAAAGATCATGATCTATTAACAGTCAGTCTCCATTGGTCAAACACCTTTAGGCCAGGATTCAATGAAATGCATGTTGTCGACAAACGCTTGACATTTAAAGCTCATTTCTGCTTGAGCCGACATCTGCAGCATTTACCGTGAATGAAATGACGTTTAAAAGGCGCATTGTCAGTAGTGCAATCAATGCTCTTGTTGATAAGTCGTCTCTGACTGAATCCCAGCCTCAGAGAGAAGGTCAGTATACCTACAGCCTTTACAAGCTTCCTTAGTTCCTTTCCTCATCTCCTTCCCTTGATGACTCAGCTAGTCTGTTAAATTGCGGAAACCTATCCATCAATGGAACCAATGGAATATACTAAAAGTGCAAACTCCAAGCTTATTCAAGCACACAATCCTTTCTACTCTCAATGGTCACGAAGGGAAATGAGATGAGGAAGTGAAACCATTCTAAAGTGCTGTCTGGGACACAGTGAATAAACTCATAATCCCATAATGATTGGCAGTGCTCTTTATAGACGGATGTGCAGGAAGCTTCCCTTGATATTAGTGGCATAGTTACCATAGTTACTTACCCCTCTGCATTAAAAACCCTGCAGAGAGATTCTAGTGCAAAACCTCAAGTCCTCACTATCTGGTGTTGTGGGCTATAACAGGCAATTAAAAACAAAACAGTAACATTCCTAGACTTCTGTTCCTAACGGTACCCTCTATTCCCTATGTAGTGCACTGCTTTTGAGCTGAGCCGTGTGGGCCCTGGGTCTAAAGTAGTGCACTACATAGGGAATAGGGGGCCATTCTCTGGTCTAAAGTAGTGCACTACATAGGGAATAGGGTGCCATTTGAGGCGCACCTCTAGTCTGGAATCCCAAACACTGTTTGCATAGATTAAAAAGAGTTCCAGAGAGTTTTCACTCGTTTTTCCAATCTCCTCTCTGTCTGTCTTTTCAGGCGTTTCACTAGTTGTGGACATTGCACTTGTGAGTCAGTGACAAAGTACTATTGACTCTCTGTATACTTGGCGTGTGGTATTAAGACATAGTTAACTTTACATCTTATACTGCCTTGTTGAAGCAAGTTGTTTGAAGCAAGTTGAGTTAGTGCTGCTGGGTTTAGTTTGGATCCTTTCCCATCCTATCCCATCACCACCAAACTGTAGAAGTTACCACAGGTCAGACCGTATCCCATCACCACCAAACTGTAGAAGTTACCACAGGTCAGACCGTATCCCATCACCACCAAACTGTAGAAGTTACCACAGGTCAAACAGCTCAGCGGAAGTCATAGGAAGTTGTGGGAATTACAGCCAAAGAAAAACCACCGCAACTACTACCGTACCTCAGGGAATACTACACAGTTAAAACGTATTTATCACCACAAAATGAATAAGCCGCGTCAAATAAAAAATATAATTAAAAAAAAACTATTCCCAATGGTAAGGCACAATAGAATTGACAAAGATTAGACGCATTTCAAAAACAAATACTAATAAAAAAAATAAAACTAATATCTCAGAAAACAGAAGTTCCTTGAGTATGGCGTCTTGGCGTTATCTGTCTAGTGAGGAGAAGGGGAGAGGGTATAGACCAACACAACCTGGGATGATCCCTGATGCTCCCCAACCCACTAAACAGAGCCTGAGACAGCCTCTCAGAAGCACCAGGGTGGAAACCATCTCTTTACTATTGAGGAGAGACGCTGTGCGTCCCAAATGCCACCCATTCCCCTGTTTTGTGCACTACTTTAGACCAGGGCCCATGGTGCTTTGGTCAAAAAAAAGTAGTGCACTATATAGGGAATAGGGTTTCATTTGGGACGCATCCAGGGAGTAGAAGGCAACGAACAAGAAAGAGGTTTAAAAAGTCCCTGGCAGGCAGGCAGCCGGATCAGGATCAGGCCGTTCTGTTAGATGGACGGAGGGAGAGAGGTGTTCAGTCGTTGTGTTGATCGTAGTCTGTGAGGGGCACGTTCAGTCGTTGTGTTGATCGTAGGCTGTGAGGGGCACGTTCAGTCGTTGTGTTTATCGTAGGCTGTGAGGGGGGTGATCTCTGACAGGTCTTCTTGGGGGAACACCACGAAACACAGCTTCTGACCCACGTAGGTCACATACTCTGGAACACAACAGACAGGCAGCGGGGGTCAGAGACATAGACAGCACAGACACTGACTGTCTCATCAGCGTCAATACAGAGATGGCAGCATGTGTGGTTGTCTCACCCACCTTAGTTGAATGCACTGACTGTAAGTTGCTCTGAGTAAGAGCGTCTGGGTAAATGACCTAAATGTAATACAAGGACTGTACGAGTCACTCACCCACGACCCTGTAGACACATCTGGGCTTCTTCTTCCAGTGCACCCCAACGAAGTAGACGGGTACCCCGGTGAGCATGATGACGATCCCCATGCCACACACCACGGGCTCCGAGTACAGACTGAACCCCAGCAGCACCGCCCAGAACACCAGGTAACTGATAGGGACCAACACATCACCTGTGGGGAAGAGGAGGAGGGGGAGAGGATGGATACGAGGGAGGGGGGGGGAGAGGGGGGAGAAGAGGAGGGGGGAAGGGAGGGACACAGAGTTAGAACTGATGCTCCGAGTACTGATTGAACCCCAGCACCACCGCCCAGAACACCAGGTAACTGATAGGGACCAACACACTCACCTGGGGAGAGGAGGAGGGGAGGGGGGAAGATTGATTGAGTTTTAAAATATATATGTACAGATAGGATAAGGGGGAGGTCCGGGGAGGACGGGGGAGGGGAGAGGGAGGGGGACGGGGAGGGCCGGGGGGAGGGGAGAGGGGAGGGGAGAGGGAGGGGGACGGGAGGGCCCAGGGAGGCGGGGGAGGGGATGGGGGAGAGGGAGGGGGGACGGGAGGGCCGGGGAGGACGGGGGAGGGGAGGGGGGGAGAGGGGGACGGGAGAGACAGATGAATTGATACCGGCACAGGGGAACTGTGGGAGCACTCTGTAGGTTTTGACTCCAACCAGGTGTTATACTGAGTAGTTACATGCTATTATGAGAGTAGGCTGTGCTAGAGTACGGGGGAGAAAATACAAACTGGTATTGTATCCCAGAGCACAGGCGTCCTGCCCAACCTGTTCCTGGTAGAGCAGCCCTCCTGTAGGTTTTCGCTCCAACCTCCAGTGTACTAACCTGATTCATCTTTCCACCTGCTAATTATTGAATGGTGCAGATTAGGTTGGAGCAAAAACCTACAGGACGTAGCTTCCAGGAACATGGTTGGGCCCATCCGTCATAGACAACGTCCGGTTTCCCACTCATAATAGAATGACAGTTTTCCTGGTTTCCCACTCAGTAATAGAATGACAGTTCATTTCCTGGTTCCCCACTCAGTAATAGAATGACAGTTCATTTCCTGGTTTCCCACTCAGTAATAGAATGACAGTTCATTTCCTGGTTCCCCACTCAGTAATAGAATGACAGTTCATTCCTGGTTCCCCCACTCCGTAATAGAGATAATAGAATGACAGTTCATTCCTGGTTCACCCACTCCAGTAATAGGAATGACCAGTTCATTCCTGGTCTTCCCCCACCCTCAGTAAGAATGACCACAGTTCATTTCCTGGTTCCCCCACTCAGTAATAGAATGGACCGTTCATTTCCTGGTTCCCACTCAGTCAGTAAGAATGACAGTTCCATTAGCGTTTTCCCCCACTCAGTAATAGATGACAGTTCATTTCCTTTCCCCACCTCAGTAATAGAATGACAGTTCATTTCCTGGTTTCCCCACTCAGTAATAGAATGACAGTTCATTTCCTGGTTTCCCCAACTCAGTTAATAGAATGACAGTTTCAGTTCCTGGTTCCCCACTCAGTAAATAGAATGACCGTTCATTTCCTGCGTTTCCCCACTCAGTAATAGAATGGACCAGTTCAATTTCCTGGTTTCCCCCACTCAGTAATAGAATGACAGTTCATTTCCTGGTTTCCCCACTCAGTAATAGAATGACAGTTCATTTCCTGGTTTCCCCCACTCAGTAATAGAATGACAGTTCATTTCCTGGTTTCCCCACTCAGTAATAGAATGACAGTTCATTTCCTGGTTCCCCACTCAGTAATAGAATGACAGTTCATTTCCTGGTTTCCCCCACTCAGTAATAGAATGACAGTTCATTTCCTGGTTCCCCACTCAGTAATAGAATGACAGTTCATTTCCTGGTTTCCCACTCAGTAATAGAATGACAGTTCATTTCCTGGTTTCCCCCACTCAGTAATAGAATGACAGTTCATTTCCTGGTTTCCCCACTCAGTAATAGAATGACAGTTCATTTCCTGGTTTCCCACTCAGTAATAGAATGACAGTTCATTTCCTGGTTTCCCACTCAGTAATAGAATGACAGTTCATTTCCTGGTTTCCCCCACTCAGTAATATAATGACAGTTCATTTCCTGGTTTCCCCACTCAGTAATAGAATGACAGTTCATTTCCTGGTTCCCCACTCAGTAATATAATAACAGTTCATTTCCTGGTTTCCCCCACTCAGTAATAGAATAACAGTTCATTTCCTGGTTTCCCCCACTCAGTAATATAATAACAGTTCATTTCCTGGTTTCCCCCACTCAGTAATAGAATGACAGTTCATTTCCTGGTTTCCCCACTCAGTAATATAATAACAGTTCATTTCCTGGTTTCCCCCACTCAGTAATATAATAACAGTTCATTTGCTACGGTTTGCTAAGGTGTGCACTAGTGAATAGTTCCCAGATATATTAGCACCAGATATAGGTCTGCTCTACCTTGATGGGTCGTAGCAGGTTGGGTCTCTTCCAGCGATAGTACAGCAGGCCGGCGATGGTCACTCCGTAGGACAGGAAGTTAATGAAGGAGACATAGTTGATCAGGTTGTGAGTCTCTCCAATACACAGGATCAATATGGTGGCGCCACACTGTGGAGGAGGAGGGAAGCAGAGGTCAATTAGTGCACAATAAACTGTCATATACTGTACATGGATGTAACGTACTATAACATTATACACTAAAGCCATATAGCACAGCCCTGGGGTTTGGGGCTGGAGGAACTGCAGGTCAGAATGAGGAGCACCAGGGAACAGTAACTGACACAGACTAATGCAGGGCAGAATGAGGAGCACCAGGGAACAGTAACTGACACAGACTAATGCAGGCCAGAATGAGGAGCACCAGGGAACAGTAACTGACACAGACTAATGCAGGGCAGAATGAGGAGCACCAGGGAACAGTAACTGACACAGACTAATGCAGGGCAGAATGAGGAGGCACCAGGGAACAGTAACTGACACAGACTAATGAAGGCCAGAATGAGGAGCACCAGGGAACAGTAACTGACACAGACTAATGCAGGGCTGGAATGAGGAGCACCAGGGAACAGTAACCGACACAGACTAATGCAGGGCTGGAATAGGGGTGCACCAGGGAACAGTAACCGACACAGACTAATGCAGGCCAGAATGAGGAGCACCAGGGAACAGTAACCGACACAGACTAATGCAGGTCAGAATGAGGAGCACCAGGGAACAGTAACCGACACAGACTAATGCAGGCCAGAATGAGGAGCACCAGGGAACAGTAACCGACACAGACTAATGCAGGCCAGAATGAGGAGCACCAGGGAACAGTAACCGACACAGACTAATGCAGGCCAGAATGAGGAGCACCAGGGAACAGTAACTGACACAGACTAATACAGGGCTGGAATAGGGGTGCACCAGGGAACAGTAACCGACACAGACTATGGCCAGGCCAGAATGAGGAGCACCAGGGAACAGTAACTGACACAGACTAATGCAGGGCTGGAATAGGGGTGCACCAGGGAACAGTAACTGACACAGACTAATGCAGGCCAGAATGAGGAGCACCAGGGAACAGTAACTGACACAGACTAATGCAGGGCTGGAATAGGGGTGCACCAGGGAACAGTAACTGACACAGACTAATACAGGTCAGAATGAGGAGCACCAGGGAACAGTAACTGACACAGACTAATGCAGGCCAGAATGAGGAGCACCAGGGAACAGTAACTGACACAGACTAATGCAGGGCTGGGAATAGGGGTGCACCAGGGAACAGTAACTGACACAATAACACCCAGAATGAGGAGCCCCAGGGAACATAACGCACAGACAAATGCAGGCCAGAAAATGAGGAGCACCGGGGAACAGAAACTGACACAGATAAGCGGGCCGAATAGGGCACCGGGAAAACGTAACTTACAAGCAAATGCAGGGCGGAATGGGGGCCCCAGGGAACAGTAACCGAACAGACTAAGCAGGGGGGAAATAGGGGGCCCCAGGGAACAGAAAACTGACACGATAATGCGGGCCCAGAATGAGGGCACCAGGGGAAAAAGTAATACCGGGACTAATGCGGGTGGAAAAGGGGGCCCCAGGGAACAGAAAAACGACCGACAATGCGGGCGGGAAAGGGGGGTGCACCAGGGAACAGAAACCCGCCCACAGACAATGCGGGCTGGAAAGGGTGCACCAGGGAACAAAAAGGCAAGGGAAAGAAGGGCTGGAATAGGGGGGCACCAGGGAACAGTAACCGACACGACAAAACAGGGCTAATAGGGGGCACCGGGAACATAACGAAAGACTAATGCAGGCGGGAAAAAGGGGGGGAGCACCAGGAACAGTAACCCAACGACTATACAGGGCTGGAATAGGGTGCACCAGGGAACAGAAACCCAAACCAGAAATACAGGCAAAGGGGAGCACCGGGAACAGAAAAACCGACCAGACTAATGCGGGGTGGAAATGGGGTGCCCGGGGAAACAGAATGACACAGACTAATACGGCCAGAATGAGGGCACCGGGGAACAGTAACCACAAACTAATGGGGGCTGGAATGGGGGCCCCGGGGAACGGGAAAATGACACGACTAATGCAGGGCTGGAATGGGGGTGCACCGGGAAACATAAGACCAGACTAAGCAGGCCAGAATGAGGAGCACCAGGGAACAGTCCCCGACACAACAAATTCAGGGGGGGAAAGGGGTGCCCGGGAACAGTAATGCCCAAGACAATGCGGGGAAGAATGAGGAGAAAGGGGAAACATAATTTACACAGACAAGCAGGGGGGGGAATGGGGGTGGCACCGGGGAACAGAAAACTGACACAGATATGCAGGGCTGGAATAGGGGTGCACCAGGGAAAACAGAAAACCGACACAGACAATGCAGGGGGGAAAGGGGTGCCCAGGGAAAACAGAAACTGCCCCAAGACTAAGAGGGCTGGAAATGGGGGCCCCGGGGAACAGAACCACAAAAGACTAATCAGGGGGGAAATAGGGGGCCCCGGGGAAAACAGTAACCGACCAGAAATGCAGGGCTGGAATGGGGGCCCAGGGAACAAAACCGACACGACAATACGGGCTGGAAAGGGGGTGCACCAGGGAACAGTAACCGACACAAAAATTACAGGCCAGAAGAGGAGCACCGGGGGAACTAACGACAAAATAATGCAGGGTGGAAATAGGGTGCACCGGGAACAGAACTGACACAGACTAATGAGGCCGAATGAGGAGCACCGGGAACAGAAATGCACAGACTAATGCGGCCGAATGAGGAGCCCCAGGGAACGAACTACACAACTAAGCGGGCCAGAATGAGGGCACCGGGGAAAACAGTAACGGACACGCTAATAAGGGCGGAATGGGAGCACCAGCGAACAGTAACTGACAAGACTAATACAGGGCTGGAATGAGGACACCGGGGAAACGTAACGACACGGACTAATGCGGGGTGGAAGAGGACCCCAGGGAACAGAAAATAACACAGACTAATGCGGGTGGAATAGGGGTGCACCGGGAAAACGTAATTACACGTACGGGGCGGAATAGGGGTGCCAGGGAAACAGTAACCGACACAGATAATGCAGGTCAAAATGGGGAGCACCAGGGAACGAAACGACCGACTAATGCGGGCCCAGAAGAGGGCACCAGGAACGTAACTGACACAGACAAGCAGGCCAGAATAGGAGCACCGGGGAACAGAACTGACAAGACTAATGAGGAAAGAATGAGGAGCACCAGGGAACAGTAACTGACACAGACTAATGCAGGCCAGAATGAGGAGCGCCAGGGAACAGTAATGACACAGACTAATGCAGGGCTGGAATAGGGGTGCACCAGGGAACAGTAACCGACACAGACTAATGCAGGCCAGAATGAGGAGCACCAGGGAACAGTAACTGACACAGACTAATGCAGGGCTGGAATAGGGGTGCACCAGGGAACAGTAACTTACACAGACGAGCAGGGCTGGAATAGGGGTGCAGTTTTTCAGGTGGATCATGGCCAACAGGTGGGGCAGGTGACCCTCTCTGGCTCCAGAGAAACACAACCTGTGGAGAAAAGGAGAATAGTTCAGGTGTTTAGGTGTGTGAGCAGTTGGTTGGAGCATGATGCTAGCAACACCAGGGTTGTGGGTTGGATTCCTGCATGGCTACACCACAGATACTGTATGAATTAATTGTCCTGAATATTGCTTTGGGGTTACAGTGTCTCTGTGATGCTTAAACCTCCCCAGCCGCTCCATGTATTTCATCTATTTCCAGAACTAGAGCACTTGATTGAACTTGATTTCAACTAATCATCAAGCCCTTGATCAGGTGAATCAGGTCTGCTGGTACTGGACTGTAACATGAAAGGTCTGGGGGGGGGGGGAGGGGGAGGGAAGTCTGGGGGGGGGGGGGGGTCTGGGGGGGGGTCTGGGGGGGTCTGGGGGGGGTCCCTGAGGACAGGTTTGAGACTCTTAGTACCTGGAAGAAGTGAAGAGATAGCCGTTGATTCCTCCGAATGTAGACAGAGCCACGGAGATAGGCATCACCCAGGAGAACACACCCAGCAACTTCTCACCAAATGTCTGGGTGACAGAGGGGCAGGTGTAGAAAACCATTAAACAATCATTAAACAACCTTTAAAAAAAAACAAAAAAAACAACCACAGATAGCTAACTGTTAAAGAAACAAAATCACATAACCACATTTATTTGTTTATTAGGATCCCCATAAGCTTTTGGAGAATCAGCAGCTACTCTTCCTGTGGTCCACAAAATACACAAAACATAACAAGTATGCGTTCAACACCATAGTGCCCACAACGCTCATCACTAAGCTAAGGACCCTGGGACTAAACACCTCCCTCTGCAACTGGATCCTGGACTTCCTGACGGGCCGCCCCCAGGTGGTAAGGGTAGGCATTACCCATAATCCAAGATGGCATAGCAGTGCAGTCGTGTTTTATGTAGTGTCCTTATGTAAATAGCCAGTTTTTTTGTTTTTTTTCGTCTTTTTCGTATATATTTCTCAATTTCACTTTCCATCCTTTAACTAAATATACTTTCCTGCAACCCGCCAATGTGGAACCTCTGGCTGAAACTAGCCAGCTAGCCAGCTAACTAGCTACTTGCTATTAGCCACTGTTAGCGGTCTTCACCATTGTCCGTGGCCGTGGCCTGCACTACCTACCAGCCAGCTCTAGCCTGGACAATTGTCGGCCAGTGTGCACATCGCGCTATCGAGCCAGAGCATATCGGATTTTCTGCCGGAACCACTGAATCACTGGACCTTAACACCGGATCATCACTAGCCAGCTAACTAGCTACTTGCTATTAGCCACCGTTAGCGGTCTTCACCATTGTCCGTGGCCGTGGCCTGCACTACATACCAGCCAGTCAGCTCTAGCCTGGACTATTATTCGGCCAGTCTGCACTGTCTGCACAGCGCGTTATCGACCCTGAACATATCAGGGTTTTCTGCCGGAATCACTGAACCTTTAACACCGTATTCATCTCTACTAGCTAGCTGCAACCAAATTGACGTTTTGTGGTTGGCTAATCAGCCCTGAGTTAGCCTTGAGCCAGGTCCATCTCCCGGCTATCTACCTCTCTGTCAACCGGACGGGACCTCCTAGTGTTGACACGGAGCCCCGCCGATCCAACACGACTGGTCTGCCGACGAAATCGTCTGATGTGGTTACAACAGGCTTCCCGTTACAACGTCGACCACGAAGATCCATCTGCTAGCCCCGGCCCGCTAGCACACGCTAGCCGTGGCCTCTTGCTCGCCAGTGCTGTAGCAGCCCCCGAACTACCTCCGAACTATCCTATTGCTGTTCACCGGACCTTATGATAACTCAGCTATACAGCTGATGCCTGCTGGACTGTTCCTTTTTACGGTACCGCATCCTGTTTATGTTTAGCCTCAGCCCGACATTACCAGCTGTTGTCTTAGCTCTCTCGAATTACACCTGTGATTGCTTTATGCCTCTCTCCCATGTCAATATGCCTTGCTTATTGCTGTTTCGGTTATTTCTTATTGTACTATTTCACTGTAGATCCCCCAGCCCAGCTAAACCTGCCTTAGATAGCTCCTTTATCCCAACCCCCATACACGCGGAGACCGACTCAATTGGTGCCTCCAGTGATGCTATCTCTTTCATCGTTACCAAACGCTTAGGTTTACCTCCACTGTACTCATATCCTTCCATATCCTTTTCTGTACATAATGCCCTGAATCTATTCTACAACGCCCGGGAAACCTGCCCCTTTTATTCTCTGTACCCAACGCACTAGAAGACCAGTACTTAAAGCCTTTAGCCATATCCTTATTCTACTCCTCCTCTGTTCCTCTGGTGATGTAGAGGTTAACCCAGGGCCTGTAGCCCCCCGTATCACTCCTACTCCCCAGGCGTTATCATTTGTTGACTTCTGTAATCGTAAAAGCCTTGGTTTCTTGCACGAAAACATCCAAAGCCTCCTCCCTAAGTTAGAGTTATTCACTGCACACTCCGCCAACCCTTATGTTCTAGCAGTGTCTGAATCCTGGCTTAGGAAGGCCACCAAAAATTCAGAAATGTCCATCTCCAACTACAACATTTTCCATCTAGATAGAACTGCCAAAGGCGGTGGGGGTTGCAATCTACCCAGGTCTGTGCCCAAACAGTTTGAGCTTCTACTTCTAAAATCCACCTTTCCAGAAATAAGTATCTCGCTGTTGCCGCTTGCTACAGACCCCCTCAGGCCTGAGCTGTGCCCTGGACACCATATGTGAACTGATTGCCCCCCATCTATCCTCAGAGTTCGTACTGCTTGGTGACCTAAACTGGGATATGCTTAACACCCCGGCCATCCTACAATCCAAACTAGATGCCCTCAATCTCACACAAATTATCAACGAACCTACCAGGTACAACCCTAAATCTGTAAACATGGGCACCCTCATAGATATCATCCTGACAAATTTACCCTCTAAATACACCTCCGCTGTCTTCAACCAGGATCTCAGCGATCACTGCCTTATTGCCTGCGTCCGTAATGGGTCCGCGATCAAACGACCACCCCTCATCCCTGTCAAACGCTCCCTAAAACACTTTAGCGAGCAGGCCTTTCTAATTGACCTGGCCCGGGTATCCTTGATGGATATTGACCTCATTCCATCAGTAGAGGATGCCTGGTTGTTCTTTAAAAGTGCTTTCCTCTCAATCTTAAATAAGCATGCCCCATTAAAAAAATTCAGAACTAAGAACAGATACAGTGGGGGAAAAAAGTATTTAGTCAGCCACCAATTGTGCAAGTTCTCCCACTTAAAAAGATGAGAGAGGCCTGTACTTTTCATCATAGGTACACGTCAACTATGACAGACAAAATGAGATATTTAATGAATTTATTTGCAAATTATGGTGGAAAATAAGTATTTGGTCAATAACAAAAGTTTCTCAATACTTTGTTATCTACCCTTTGTTGGCAATGACACAGGTCAAACGTTTTCTGTAAGTCTCACACACTGTTGCTGGTATTTTGGCCCATTCCTCCATGCAGATCTCCTCTAGAGCAGTGATGTTTTGGGGCTGTCGCTGGGCAACACAGACTTTCAACTCCCTCCAAAGATTTTCTATGGGGTTGCGATCTGGAGACTGGCTAGGCCACTCCAGGACCTTGAAATGCTTCTTACGAAGCCACTCCTTCGTTGCCCGGGCGGTGTGTTTGGGATCATTGTCATGCTGAAAGACCCAGCCACGTTTCATCTTCAATGCCCTTGCTGATGGAAGGAGGTTTTCACTCAAAATCTTACGATACATGGCCCCATTCATTCTTTCCTTTACACGGATCAGTCGTCCTGGTCCCTTTGCAGAAAAACAGCCCCAAAGCATGATGTTTCCACCCCCATGCTTTCACAGTAGGTATGGTGTTCTTTGGATGCAACTCAGCATTCTTTGTCCTCCAAACACGACGAGTTGAGTTTTTACCAAAAAGTTATATTTTGGTTTCATCTGACCATATGACATTCTCCCAATCCTCTTCTGGATCATCCAAATGCACTCTAGCAAACTTCAGACGGGCCTGGACATGTACTGGCTTAAGCAGGGGGACACGTCTGGTACTGCAGGATTTGAGTCCCTGGCGGCGTAGTGTGTTACTGATGGTAGGCTTTGTTACTTTGGTCCCAGCTCTCTGCAGGTCATTCACTAGGTCCCCCCGTGTGGTTCTGGGATTTTTGCTCACCGTTCTTGTGATCATTTTGACCCCACGGGGTGAGATCTTGCGTGGAGCCCCAGATCGAGGGAGATTATCAGTGGTCTTGTATGTCTTCCATTTCCTAATAATTGCTCCCACAGTTGATTTCTTCAAACCAAGCTGCTTACCTATTGCAGATTCAGTCTTCCCAGCCTGGTGCAGGTCTACAATTTTGTTTCTGGTGTCCTTTGACAGCTCTTTGGTCTTGGCCATAGTGGAGTTTGGAGTGTGACTGTTTGAGGTTGTGGACAGGTGTCTTTTATACTGATAACAAGTTCAAACAGGTGCCATTAATACAGAATAACGAGTGGAGGACAGAGGAGCCTCTTAAAGAAGAAGTTACAGGTCTGTGAGAGCCAGAAATCTTGCTTGTTTGTAGGTGACCAAATACTTATTTTCCACCATAATTTGCAAATAAATTCATTAAAAATCCTACAATGTGATTTTCTGGATTTTTTTTCCTCAATTTGTCTGTCATAGTTGACGTGTACCTATGATGAAAATTACAGGCCTCTCTCATCTTTTTAAGTGGGAGAACTTGACCAATTGGTGGCTGACTAAATACTTTTTTCCCCCACTGTATATGTACATATCTACCTCAAATCACCTCGTACCCCTGCACATCGACTCGGTACTGGTACCTCCTGTATAAAGCCATGTTATTACCTCGTATCCCTGCACATTGACTCAGTACTGGTACCCCCTGTATAAACCATGTTATCATTGACTCAGTACTGGTACCCCCTGTATATAACCATGTTATCATTGACTCAGTACTGGTACCCCCTGTATATAACCATGTTATCATTGACTCAGTACTGGTACCCCCTGTATATAACCATGTTATCATTGACTCAGTACTGGTACCCCCTGTATAAAGCCATGTTATCATTGACTCAGTACTGGTACCTCTCTGCATTGTTGGGAAGGGCCCGTCAGTAAGCATTTCACTGTTAGTCTACACCTGTTGTTTACGAAGCACGTGACGAATAACATTGTATTTTATTTTATTTATAGATTTATTAATTCTCACCACAGCCACGGCATTAGTTAGGGTTAGGGTTATAGATGCATGCATTCTCACCACAGCCACGGCGTTGGATGCCAGCAGCTCTTCGGGGGTCATGGAGGAGAAGTATGCGATGTTGGTCAGAGTATAGACTAACGTCACCAGGGGAATGGATATGTAGATAGCCCGGGGCAGGTTCCTGTAGAGATAGATATTATTACTGTAGATAGCCCGGGGCAGGTTCCTACAGAGATAGATATTATTACTGTAGATAGCCCGGGGCAGGTTCCTATAGAGATAGATATTATTACTGTAGATAGCCCGGGGCAGGTTCCTATAGAGATAGATGTTATTACTGTAGATAGCCCGGGGCAGGTTCCTATAGAGATAGATATTATTACTGTAGATAGCCCGGGGCAGGTTCCTATAGAGATAGATATTATTACTGTAGATAGCCCGGGGCAGGGTTCCTATAGAGATAGATATTATTACTGTAGATAGCCCAGGGCAGGTTCCTATAGAGATAGATATTATTACTGTAGATAGCCCGGGCAGGTTCCTATAGAGATAGATGTTATTACTGTAGATAGCCCGGGGCAGGTTCCTATAGAGATAGATATTATTACTGTAGATAGCCCGGGGCAGGTTCCTATAGAGATAGATGTTATTACTGTAGATAGCCCGGGGCAGGTTCCTATAGAGATAGATATTATTACTGTAGATAGCCCGGGGCAGGTTCCTATAGAGATAGATATTATTACTGTAGATAGCCCGGGCAGGTTCCTATAGAGATATATATTATTACTGTAGATAGCCCGGGGGCAGGTTCCTGTAGAGATAGATATATTACTGTAGATAGCCCGGGGCAGGTTCCTATAGATATAGATATTATTACTGTAGATAGCCGGGGTCAGGTTCCCTATAGAGATAATATATTACGGTAGATAGCCGGGGTAGGTTCCTATAGAGATAGATATTATTACTGTAGATAGCCCGGGGCAGGTCCTATAGAGATAGATATATTACTGTAGATAGCCGGGGCAGGTTCCTATAGAGATAGATATTATTACTGTAGATAGCCCGGGGCAGGTTCCTATAGAGATAGATATTATTACTGTAGATAGCCCGGGGCAGGTCCTATAGAATATATTATTACTGTAGATAGCCGGGGCAGGTTCCTATAGAGATAGATATTATTACTGTAGATAGCCCGGGGCAGGTTCCTATAGAGATAGATATTATTACTGTAGATAGCCCGGGGCAGGTTCCTATAGAGATAGATATTATTACTGTAGATAGCCCGGGGCAGGTTCCTATAGAGATAGATATTATTACTGTAGATAGCCCGGGGGCACGGTTCCTAATAGGATAGCATATTATTACTGTAGATAGCCCGGGGCAGGTTCCTATAGAGATATATATTATTACTGTAGATAGCCCGGGGCAGGTTCCTATAGAGATAGATATTATTACTGTAGATAGCCGGGGCAGGTTCCTATAGAGATAGATATTATTATACTGTAGATAGCCCGGGGCAGGTTCCTATAGAGATAGATATTATTACTGTAGATAGCCCGGGGCAGGTTCCTATAGAGATAGATGTTATTACTGTAGATAGCCCGGGCAGGTTTCTCTAGAGATAGATATTATTACTGTAGATAGCCCGGGGCAGGTTCCTATAGAGATAGATATTATTACTGTAGATAGCCCGGGGCAGGTTCCTATAGAGATAGATATTATACTGTTAGATAGCCCGGGGCAGGTTCCTATAGAGATAGATATTATTACTGTAGATAGCCCGGGGCAGGTTCCTATAGAGATAGATATTATTACTGTAGATAGCCCGGGGCAGGTTCCTATAGAGATAGATATTATTACTGTAGATAGCCCGGGGCAGGTGGCCTATAGAGATTAGATTATATTACTGTAGATAGCCCTGGGGCAGGGTTTCCTATAGAGCATCGATATATTACTGTAGTAAAATACCCAGGTTCCTATGAATAGATATTATTTCTGTAGATAGCCCGGGGCAGGTCTATAGAGATAATTATTTGTGATAGCCCGGGGGAGGTTCCCATAGAGTGATTTTTACGTAGAAGCCGGGGGAGGTTCCTATAGGAAGTATTTTACTGAGATAGCCCGGGCGGGGTTTCCATAGAGATAGATTTATTACTGTAGATAGCCCGGGGAAGGGTTTCCCATAGAGAAGTATTTTTTCTGTAGAAGCCCGGGCAGGTCCCTTTGGATGATATATTATGTAGATAGCCCGGGGAGGGTCCTATGAGATAGATATTTTACTGTAGATGCCCGGGGCAGGTTTTATAAGATTAAAATTATTACTGTAGTTTTGGGCCCCGGGGCAGGTTCCCATAGAGGAATTATTTCTGTAGAAGCCCGGGGAGTTCCTTAGAGAAATTTAATTTTTACTGTAGATAGCCCCGGGGGAGGTTCCATAGAGATGAATTATACTGTAGATAGCCCGGGGCAGGTTCCTATAGAGCTAATATTATACTGTAAGATAGCCCGGGGCAGGTTCCTATAGAGATAGATATATTACTGTAGATAGCCCGGGGCAGGTTCCTATAGAGATAGATATTATTACTGTAGATAGCCCGGGGCAGGTTCCTATAGAGATAGATATTATTACTGTAGATAGCCCGGGGCAGGTTCCTATAGAGATAGATATTATTACTGTAGATAGCCCGGGGCAGGTTCCTATAGAGATAGATATTATTACTGTAGATAGCCCGGGGCAGGTTCCTATAGAGATAGATATTATTACTGTAGATAGCCCGGGGCAGGTTCCTATAGAGATAGATATTATTACTGTAGTTAGCCCGGGGCAGGTTCTTATAGAGAGTAGAGTATATTACTGTAGATAGCCCGGGGCAGGTTCCTATAGAGATGAGATATTACTATTAGATTGGTAGATTGAGCCCGGGGCAGGTTCCTATAGAGATAGATATTATTACTGTAGATAGCCCGGGGCAGGTTCCTATAGAGATAGATATTATTACTGTAGATAGCCCGGGGCAGGTTCCTATAGAGATAGATATTATTACTGTAGATAGCCCGGGGCAGGTTCCTGAGATAAGATACATATTTTATACAGTAATATACCAGGTTCCTGTGAAACAGTACATTATATTACAGTAATATCGTACTATAACAGTATATGACAGTAATATGTAGACGGCTGGGGGCAGGTTCCTAAAGAGACCACAGGTAACATATCACAGTAGCATGTCACATATTAAAATGCTGATGGAAATAGCAATGACTTGTAACAGTAAACTCATCAGACAGCAGTGACACAGATCAGACAGCAGTGACACAGTAAACTCATCAGACAGCAGTGACACAGTAAACCCATCAGACAGCAGTGACACAGTAAACTCCATCAGACAGCAGTGACACAAACCATCAGACAGCAGTGACACAGTAAACCTCATCAGACAGCAGTGACACAGTAAACCCATCAGACAGCAGTGACACAGAATCCAGACATCAGACAGCAGTGACACTCATCAGACAGCAGTGACACAGATCAGACAGCCAGTGACACAGTAAACTCATTGACAGCAGTGACACAGTTAAACTCATCAGACAGCAGTGACACAGTAAACCCATCAGACAGCAGTGACACAGTAAACTCATCAGACAGCAGTGACACAGTAAACTCATCAGACAGCAGTGACACAGTAAACCCATCAGACAGCAGTGACACAGTAAACTCATCAGACAGCAGTGACACAGTAAACTCATCAGACAAGCAGTGACAGATCAGACAGCAGTGACACAGTAAAACTCATCAGACAGCAGTGACACGTAAACTCATCAGACAGCAGTGACACAGTAAACTCATCAGACAAGCGGTGACACAGTAAACCATCAGACAGCAGTGACACAGTAAACTCATCAGACAGCAGTGACACAGTAAACTCATCAGACAGCAGTGACACAGTAAACTCATCAGACAGCAGTGACACAGTAAACCCATCAGACAGCAGTGACACAGTAAAGTTACTGAACGTAATTTGAGAATTGGAGGCAATAAGGAAACTGATGCACATGACCACACGTAAAGTCAATATATTACTGTATGACACCAGGTGCTCTTTCGCTCTCCACCACCAGGTGGTGCTATTGGCCATCTGTGTATCTACAGTTCGTGTGCACTTGCTTTGAAATCCATGACATTGGATACCTTGGTAGAAGGGTAAAAAATGGTCTATCCTGATTAAATTGGGACGTAGCCTACATCTAGAGGTCCAGAGGACTATCCTGATTAAATTGGGACGTAGCCTACATCTAGAGTGTCCAGAGGACTATCCTGATTACAATTGGGACGTAGCCTACATCTAGAGGTCCAGAGGACTATCCTGATTAAATTGGGACGGAGCCTACTCTATGAGGTCCAGAGGACTCTATCCTGATTAAATTGGGACGTAGCCTACATCTAGAGGTCCAGAGGACTATCCGATTAAATTTGGGGCGTAGCCTACATCTAGAGGTCCGAGGACTATCCTGATTAAATTGGGACGTAGCCTACATCTAGAGGTCCAGAGGACTATCCTGATTAAATTGGGACGTAGCCTACATCTAGAGGTCCAGAGGACTATCCTGATTAAATTGGGACGTAGCCTACATCTAGAGGTCCAGAGGACTATCCTGATTAATTGGGACCTAGCCTACATCTAGAGGTCCAGAGGACTATCTGATTAAATTGGGGGCGTAGCCTACATCTAGAGGTCCAGAGGACTATCCTGATTAAATTGGGACGTAGCCTACATCTAGAGGTCCAGAGGACTATCCTGATTAAATTGGGACGTAGCCTAATCTAGAGGTCAGAGGACTATCCTGATTAATTTGGGGCGTAGCCTACATCTAGAGGTCCAGAGGACTATCCTGATTGAATTGGGACGTAGCCTACATCTAGAGGTCCAGAGGACTATCCTGATTAATTGAGACGTAGCCTACATCTAGAGGCCCGAGACTATCCTGGATTAAATTGGGACCGAGCCTAATCTGAAGGTCCAGGAATCCTGATAAATGGGACGTAGCTACATTAGAGGTCCAGGGACGATCCGTAAATGGGACTACGCCACTCTAGAGGTCCAGAGGACTATCCTGATTAAAGGGAGTAGCCTACATCTAGGAGTCCGAGGCTATCCTGATAAATGGGAGGTGCCTTAATCTGAGGTCCAGAGGACTATCCGAAAATGGGAGAGGCTAATAGAGGCAGAGGGAATCTGATTAAATGACGACATACACACCGGCATCTGATAACCCACTCCGACACACACACACAGAGCCAGACACATCCTGACTAAATGGATACACACACTAGATCCAGACACATCTATTAACTGGTACGTAGCCCTCATCATCAGAGACATCTATTAATTGGGACATTCTCATCTAGAGGTCCAGAGCTCCTTCTTCCTTCTCAAATTTCCCAAGGTACCCGAAGAGTCTATCTGCCCCACTGAAACGGGTCCCGTGTGAACTCAAACGCCCCGGCTGGGTCTCAGAGCATCATAGTGACCCTGGTGTAAGGGGTGGAGGTAGTGAGGGAGGGAGGGAGGGAGGGAAGGGAGGGATGGGAGGGAGCGAGGGAGGCGAGGGAAGGGGAGGGAGAGAAGAGAGGAGGTAGAGTGTGAATTTAACTGATGAAATAACACGCACCGGATACTCACTCCACACACCACACCCACACACACACACACACACCCACACAACCACACCACACCACACACACACACTCGTACATACCATTGTCACCAGCCCTCAGTCATCAGGACAGTTTAATCTGGTCATTCTCAGTGTTTTTTTCCCCCCTCCTTCTTCTTCTTCTCATTCCAACAGGACGCAAGAGTTGTGACAGCAACTACTACAGTAGTGATTCAACATGTGGCCAGACCGAGAGAACAGACCCTCCCAGTAACTGACGGTGCTGCTTGTTAGAATCTGGGACATTATTCCTTAATCCAGACAGACTAGTTCCTGACAGAGAAATCACACAGTAGGGTGATGGCAGATCTGGCCGTATCACGTATTCAGTAGGGCTGATGGCAGATCTGGCCGTATCACGTATTCAGCATCACTTCAGCTCTGAGAAGATTTGGACACACGTAATGGATGGAGCTCGTTAGCCATTATTCCAGAAAAGACTGTTCCCTGACTCTGCCTTGTCATTTGAAGAGGTCATGAGTTGTGAGACAGAGCCGACAGTAGGACTGATGTGATATTTAAAAGGGAGCCGTGCTCGGCTCACACTGTGCCTCTCTCTCTCTCTCTGGTTTCTACGATTCCTTCCTATGTCAGTCTGGAAGATTAGCTCAGACAACAGTCCTGCTACTGGGATCCACAGTCAGGTCACGATTAGCTCAGACAACAGTCCTGCTACTGGGATACACAGTCAGGTCACGATTTAGCTCAGACAACAGTACTGCTACTGGGATACACACAGTCAGGTCACGATTAGCTCAGACAAACAGTACTGCTACTGGGATACACAGTCAGGTCACGATTAGCTCAGACAACAGTACTGCTACTGGGATACACAGTCAGGTCACGATTAGCTCAGACAACAGTACTGCTACTGGGATACACAGTCAGGTCACGATTAGCTCAGACAACAGTACTGCTACTGGGATACACAGTCAGGTCACGATTAGCTCAGAAAACAGTACTGCTACTGGGATACACAGTCAGGTCACGATTAGCTCAGACAACAGTCCTGCTACTGGGATACACAGTCAGGTCACGATTAGCTCAGACAACAGTACTGCTACTGGGATACACAGTCAGGTCACAATTAGCTCAGACAACAGTACTGCTACTGGGATACACAGTCAGGTCATGATTAGCTCAGACAAACAGTACTGCTACTGGGATACACAGTCAGGTCACGATTAGCTCAGACAACAGCACTGCTACTGGGATACACAGTCAGGTCACGATTAGCTCAGACAACAGTCCTGCTACTGGGATCCACAGTCAGGTCACGATTAGCTCAGACAACAGTCCTGCTACTGGGATACACAGTCAGGTCACGATTAGCTCAGACAACAGTCCTGCTACTGGGATACACAGTCAGGTCACGATTAGCTCAGACAACAGTACTGCTACTGGGATACACAGTCAGGTCACAATTAGCTCAGACAACAGTACTGCTACTGGGATACACAGTCAGGTCACGATTAGCTCAGACAACAGTACTGCTATGGGATCCACAGTCAGGTCACGATTAGTTCAGACAACAGTCTGCTACTGGGATACACGTCAGGTCACGATTAGCTCAGACAACAGTACTGCTACTGGGATACACAGTCAGGTCACGATTAGCTCAGACAACAGTACTGCTACTGGGATCACAGTCAGGTCACGATTAGCTCAGACACAGTCCTGCTACTGGTCCGTCAGGTCGATTGCTCAAACAGTCCTAACTGGGATACACAGTCAGTCACGATTGCTCAGACACACGTACTGCTACTGGGACCACAGTCAGTCACATGAGCTCAGACAACAGTACTGTACTGGGATACACAGTCAGTACGATAGCTCACACAGTCACTGCTACTGGGATACACATCAGTCCATTGCTCAGACCAGTCTGCTACTGTGATCACTCAGGTCCACGATTAGCTCGACAACAGTCCTGCTATGGATACAACAGTCAGGTGATTTAGCTCGACAACAGTCCTGCTATTGGAATCCACAGTCGTCACGATTAGCTCACATTAGCTCAGACAAACAGTATGTCTGGGTCCACAGCAGGTCACGATTGCTCAGACAACAGTACTGCTACTTGGATGTCCAGTAGGTAGATTGCTCGACAACGTACTGCTACGGGATAGCCAGTAGGTACGATTAGCTAGACACTATGATGGGATCCCGTGAGGTCATTGATAGCTCAGACACAGCATGTACTGGTCCACAGTCAGTCACGATAGCTCAGACAACAGTACTGCTACTGGGATACACTCGAGTCAGGTCACGGGTTTCGTCAGACAAGAGTCCGACTACTGGCCACAGTGTGTCACGATTAGCTCGACAACAGTATGCTATGGGATCATAGTCCTTAGCTCAGACACAGCACTGCTATGGGATAACAGTTCAGTGTCACGATTAGCCAACAACAGTCCTGCTCTGGGATCCACAGTCAGGTCACGATTAGCTCACGATATCAGACAACAGTACTGCTACGATCCACAGTCAGGTCACGTATTAGCTCAACAACATACTGCTACTGGTATACACACGTTCAGGGCAGCATTTAGTCGACAACGTACTGCTCTGGGATTACACAGTCAGGTAACGATTAGCTCAGACCAACAGTACTGCTACTGGATCCACAGTCAGGTCACGATTAGCTCAGACAAAAAGTACTGCTACTGGATACACAGTCAGGTCCGATTAGCTCAGACAAAAGCACTGCTACTGGGATCACAGTCAGGTCACGATTTGCTCAGACAACCAGTCCTGCTACTGGGATACACAGTCAGGTCCGATTACTCAGACAACATACTGCTACTGGGATCACAGTCAGGTCAAAGATTAGCTCAGACAACCGTCCTGCTACTGGGATCCACGTCAGGTCACGATTAGCTCAGATTGCTCAGGACAAAAAGTACTGCTACTGGGATCCACAGTCAGGTCACGATTAGCTCAGACAACAGTACTGCACTGGGATACACAGTCAGGTCACGATTAGCTCAGACAACATACTGTACTGGGATACACAGTCAGGTCACGATTACTCAACAACAGTACTGCTACTGGGATCCACCGTAGGGCATGATTAGCTCAACAACAGCACTGCTACTGGGATCCACAGTCAGGTCACGATTTGCTCAGACAACAGTACTGCTACTGGGATACACAGTCAGGTACGATTAGCTCAACAACAGTCCTGCTCTGGGATCCCACAGTAGGTCACGATTTAGGCTCAGACATACAGCACTGCTTACTGGGGATCACCAGTTTCAGGGTTCACGATTAGCTCAGACAACAGTGGACGCTACTGGGATAACAAGTCAGGTCACGATTAGCTCAGACAACAGTACTGCCTACTGGGATACACAGTCAGGTCACGATTAGCTCAGGACAACAGTTACCTGCTACTGGGATACCACAGCTCAGGTCACGTTAGCTCAGGACAACAGTCCTGCTACTGGGAATTACCACCAGTTCAGGTCACGATTAGCTCAGACAACAGTCCTGCTACTGGGATAACACCAGTCAGGGTCACGATTAGCTCAGACAACAGTCCTGCTACTGGGATTACACAGGTCAGGTCACCGATTAGCTCAGACACAGTACTGTAATGGGATACACAGTTAGGTCACGAATAGCTCAGACAACAGAACTGTACTGGATACAAGTCAGGTCACGATTAGCTCAGACAACAGTCCTGCTACTGGGATACACAGTCAGGTCACGATTAGCTCAGACAACAGCACTGCTACTGGGATACACAGTCAGGTCACGAACGCTGCATCTCTGGCTGCCTAAAATCCAGCCCAAACTGGATGAGGTCCACTGCCTGTACGATAGGGCCACTTTAAGTCATTTGAACCTGGTGCTCCTCCAATGTCTGTATGTTTGATTCAGGTCACGAACGCTGCCTCTCTAAGGCCTTAATGCTCAAATCAGTTTGGTTTTTCAAATCCGTTTTGGAATCCTGACTGTCCAAACAACAAGTTACAAGTGACCAAATCAGATTTGTGTGTGTTCAGACAACAGTCATTTGCTGACGTGGTTACGCTTGTTGTCATGGTAATGGCGGGTGTGTGTGCAGTGGTGTTGGCTGATTGGTGGTGGTGGTGCTTCCTGTCACTCAGAAGTTGTTGTGTAGCTGTCACGGTTTCGGCCGAGGCTGCCTCTCTTCCTTGCTCGGGCAGGCTTCGGCGGTCGTCGTCCCCGGAGTACTAGCTGCCACCGTTGTATGTTTCGTTGTTCGTTTGGTTTTGTCTGTTTGTTGTACACCTGTTATCGTTTAGTGTTCATTATTGTGTCCTATAAGTTCTTGTTGTGGTTGTCATGTGTTGTGTATGATTGAACCTACTGTCGTTAGTCTGTGCTTCATTTTTCCTCCTCTGTGTTTGGAGAGGGTTTTCGCACGTTTTGTGCGCATTTTGTGATTACTGTTGTTTTACGCCTGTGTGCGTAACGATCGTCTCCGGCCTCGTTTGGCTCATATTTTGAGTTGTGTTTACTAAAGTCTGTTGGACTAAGTTTCTGCGTCCTGCGCCTGATTCCTGCACCACACCCACCTACAGCACCTACTGACAGAATCATACACCCAGATGGAATCAGCAGGAGCCGCAGCAGCACCTGAGTCTCTGGAGGAGCGCGTCCGTGAGCAGAATGACCAGATCCTCCGTATCGGGACCGCCCTTCAGGACGTTATCACCACCTTGCAACGATGGGAGAATAGAGGGACACCCACCGCTCCACCTTCCTTGCCATCACCATCGGCCAGTCAGCCCATTCAAGCTCCGGAACCCAGGGGAATTCGGCTCTCGCTCCCGAGGGCGTATGATGGCACCGCTGCCGGGTGTCAGGGGTTCCTCCTGCAGGTAGAACTATACCTGGCCACCGTACACCCGGCGCCCTCGGGACACGAGAGCGTTTCCGCCCTCATCTCCTGTCTTACCGGCAAGGCGTTGGAATGGGCCAACGCCGAGTGGAGGAGGATGGACGCCTCCACCATCACATACTTGGAGTTCTCCCGCCGCTTCAGGGCTGTGTTTGACCATCCACCTGAGGGGAAAGCGGCGGGGGAGCGTCTAGTCCACCTCCGGCAGGGGAGGAGGAGCGCCCAGGAGTTCGCTTTGGATTTCCGAACTCTAGCGGCAGATGCAGGGTGGAATGAGCGGGCCCTCATAGATCACTACCGTTGTGGTCTACGGGAGGACGTCCGTCGGGAGCTGGCCTGCAGGGATACCAGCCTCACCTTCGACCAGTTGGTGGACATGTCCATCAGGCTGGACACCCTGCTGGCTACCCGCGGACGTTCCGAGTGGGGTCCGTCCATTCCATCCTCCAGCACCTCCGAGCCGAGCCCGATGGAGCTCGGGGGTGCTGGCGCTAGAGAGAGGAGGGGTCGGAGCACGAGGGGGGCCGTCCCCTGCACCAACTGTGGTCGTGGA